ATCATGTCATACGCCGAGCATGGGCGTGTTAGTCTAGGAGCAGCCACTAAGGTCGCGAGCCCTTCAAAATCGCCGTCAAGTTAGAAAACGATTATTCGAAAGCTCATTTTACGCCAATATTCATTGAGTTATACAAAGGTCTTGAAGTTTTTGTAGGTATTTGAATAGCACTAAAAATGCTCCATTTTTAATAGAAGAAAAAACGAATTCCGGAGAGGTGAAAGTCTTCGCAGCCTTACCACAAATTTGGAATAACATTGCAAATTTTTGAAAAGCTAGGACCAGTCCCTACAAGCGTATGTAAAGAATGGCCGCCATATTTAAAAGTGGTCACCAAGTTTGAAAAAAGTTATTCAACATACCTACATACCCAGTAAAGCGATTTTAATTTTTTAAGCTCTTTGCCCTCCTTCTTTGAAAGCAAACATATTTTCCGATAATTATTGAGATATAATAAGGTTTTTAATCTTGATCAGTTTATGAGACTCCATTGTCTGGGCGGATTAGAAAAACATTTATGTATATGTTTTAACCTTAGTTCAAGCGAACTAGTGAACAATAAACTGAAATCTAAACATATGTGTGGTTTCGATTCGGTCAGACAATGGAGTCCTATGAACATGAAAAGCACAGGAGTTACTTCACCAGTTTGTGAATACACCTAAATATCACTAATCCACAATGTACATTGTATAAGTGTTGCATTTACTAATGCTAAAGGCAGTTTTCGCGCATGGCACAAAATCAGACTAAACACTCAAATCTATCAAAAATGGAAATGCCGACTATAAGATTACGCATTACAATTAGGTTACGTGCAGTGGCGACGCGTGACTTTTAGTAAACTGTTACCAAAACCAGATGTGAAAAATCTTATTATAAAAACTTTATTTTGAACCTCCCAAATATAAGTTTTTGCTTATTTTAGGTAGATATTTTATTTAAACTATTTTTAAATTAAGGTAAACATTCCTGGACTGAGCGTCTGTGGCACTCGATATACCTCATCGTCTTGTGCTAATCCAAGGCTTCCGAAAAAACAGTCGACCTTTCTAGGTGTTCGGAAAAATTTGGATCTTTTTTGACAATGAATGTTAACAATTCCCTGTAATTTCCTCTACTGTCAGAGTCATTCCGTTCAAAATGAACGGTAATTCCTGTTTTGCCAACAACCATACGGTATCTAGAAGTGTGCTGCCTAAGAGCTTGGTTGAAACAACTTTCGATTCTTGTTTTGCCAAACTGAGTTAAATTGGCTACACATCTCACATGTAACGGAGAAATTACATGTCTCCTCTTTATAGCCCTAAAACTATTTAAATCCTTGACTCCGCTGCTGGTCCACCCATTTTTTTCTGTATAAAACAGAAGACATCGCCAACAATACAATTTGTTTTTATGCAACCACTTAACCAAGAGTTTCCATATACCAACTTAATTTAAAATATGAAACTACGTTTTTTTATTCCTTTTTAAAATCATCTAAACTAGGCGTTGGTATTCCATTTCCAATGATCTCCTTTTTTCTTAAAAATTATACAAGGAGAATGACTTTTCAAGTAGTTGATCGATTACGCAGGGACACTCATCCATATTTAATTGGTCGCATACTACAGCCGGTAACCAAAACGGCTACCAATGAGTGAGAAATGAGTAACCAAATCAAAAAATGGTAACAAGCCCACATACTAGTCGCAGCGCCGCACGCACTCGGGCAACCGCGATAAGACACGAGCCGGCTCCGACCGTCCCCGACGGACTACCAAGTGTATCCATAAATGAAAATGGTAACAACCGACAACCAAGTCGAGGCGAGTCAGCTCCATCGTGTTCACAAAACCTAGACACTATAGGGCGCATTATTTTCGTGGAGCTAATTTGCTATTTACTGAATTACTATTACATATCGCTGTTGGTAAACAAATAAATGAACTTATTTCACAGTACTTAGTCATAAAATATTATTTGTTTTTAAGATTTTTAACTGTTACCAATGGTATCAATGGTTACATGTACGCTTCGCCACTGGCTACGTGTGTATATGCTCTGAATTTTATTACGGGAGTTATGGGCGGATCTAGAAAACATTTTGGGGTAGGGGCCATCTGGTGAATTTGAAATTTTTTTGGGGGCTTGGGTAGAGGGGTGGGGGCTCAGGACTTATGGCCTGAAAGATGGCCATACATTTCTTAATTTGGATACCCCCAGTATCCTCCACTGGCGGCAGTTGATAAAACTCATATATGAGTGTTTGATAAAAGTGATCAAGCAATCCGAGTCATGGTTATAAGTAAGATAATGACGTTAGTAACAAACATACGCCCAAGCACATATTATTGTATACAGGGTGATACACAAGTCGTGACCAAAAATGAAACATCATTCACAGAACCGCATTTTAAGGAGGTCTTCTGTGTAACATTTTTCCTCGAGGGCTGCATTAAAAAGATACGGGGTGTTTAAAAAAACATTTTTTTAGTATCTTCTAAACCGTCAAACTGGAATGAACTAAAATTTGGTATGTGGCTTTACCCATGTATTGTCCACATTCAAAAGTCTTTACTTAAAATTAACGTGCCCCATCCCCGGAGATGCAGGGAATTAGTGGCATTATTTTTCCATATAAAAATAATATTTTTTACGCGTTATTTTTCGGATTTTACCTTCAATTTGATACAAATGTTTACTCTTGTGTTTTTTCATAGAGTGCACTGTTTTCGTAAAAATGAAAATAAAAGAAGCCGAGATATAAATAGTTTCCAAATAAAGTAGGAGACCTTGATACCAACTTGTCGTTTCTTGGGAGATAGTTTGTCAAGATTATGTGTTGTTGTCCTTACTACTACCATTTTTTGTTTGTTTGGAAAAGTCAAGTCAAGAGTTTCTTTTTTCCTTTTTTGAGTGTTGTGAAATGGAATTTAGCAATGATAAGTACGCCGATATTATTTTGTGCACGGGTTTTGTAATGGAAATGCTTTAGCGGCTTCACGGGAGTATCGACGTAGATTTTCTGACAGACGCCAACCTACCTCAAAGGTTTTTACTAATTTGTTTTTATTTTTATTTTTACGAAAATAATGCACTCCAGAAAAAAAACAAGAGTAATTATTTGTAGCAGATTGAAGAGAGAATACGAAAAATTGCGCGTTTCGAAAAAAAACAGTGGCGTACTATTTTTATTTGGAAAAGTAATGCAACTAATCCCCTGTATCTCCGCCATTGATGTACGTTAATTATAATTAAGTACTTTCAAATGTGGACAATACTTGGATAAATAAAGATAATAAAAAAATATATTTGAAAACTTCAACACCCCGTATCCTTTTACAGAAGCCCTCGAGGAAAAAATGTTACATAGAAGACCCCCCTCAAAATGCTGTCCTGTGTAGGATGTTTCATTTTTGGTCACGACTTGTGAATCACCCTGTATATGATGGCCTTATGACTGCGATGCAGATCGTGTAATCAATCTCTCTCTTTTTTCAAATACTCCTGTATGCATTTTGCCTTCTCCTGCAATCAAATTCGAAGTACTACCACTGTACACATAAGCATATTGTAGTGCCTGGTGTTACAGCCGTTCAATCTTTGGAATGTTAAGCTCGATTTTGTTATAATATTAACAACAATCCCCCATGCTTGACTGCCCAATAAAACTATATGTATTGACAGGTTCTTTACTGTAGTAAAGACTTCAATCACAAACGTGATTTTGTTCAGTACATTGACAATATTTCAGAAAGAGGGATAAATAACATGTCAACCACAGGATAAGTTTCAGATGTTACAATATTAGCAAGTGCTGCCTTCAGTATTAGTATAACCAATACCTTCAACTGTTCGGAAATTGGTTTTAGCTCTACCAAATATGGTCCATTTTACTATATAAATTACTATAAAAAAGGAGTAAAATGAGCTTTAAGGAATGAAATTTGATCCACTGGTTACGAAGATATGCTGGATAACCGTTTTATAATTTCGCAGCTATTTTTAAATATGACAGTCGAACGAGCAAGACTTGGACCGCATGACTTCGTTTTTTATATACTGGTATATATGGTTAGTAATGCCCTAGATGCGAATCAAGGGCACATGTAATTTCACACGCTGGTCCTTTGAGAAGAAGCTAAATGGATCAAGACAATCAAATAGGCCTATGCAACTGGCCTCCAGTCTCCACCCATATGACAACGTTGCGATGTAGAAATGTATCAAATACCCTACCGATCACGAGACAACGTTGCGATCACAGCTGCGATTAGTAGACATCCAGCGGAGGCCGCTAGCTCGCGACAGGTTCAACTTCTATTCGTTGCGCTCGATCGATTTCGACACGTGCATCGAAAATATTACTATTATTCTTAAAAGCAAGTATACCGTAAAATCTATGGGTGGAAATTACCGAGTGCAGCATCACATAATGACAAAAGTTGAGATACACCCTACCTCACCCACTGCAAGTCCCCATCCCCATTTTTTTTATTTGAAAAAAATTCCATAATCACCAGAAGCCTCTGAAATGTCAAAGAGAGTTCGAGTGATTTTTGTTTATTTCATGTTTCACCCGTAGGTACCGGTGTTACTGGATCAGTTTTAAACAACTAAAGAGCTTTCTCGGCTTGACATAGAAGTAACCTCGTGTCAAAAATTCAACACAATTCAACAAGTAGGTACATCCCAAGTTATATATGGACCGAAGATTAGCGGACAGACGAATAATTGTGACATGTCTTTTCGTCGTAACATCCAAAAAACATAGTATCTTATCTTTGATTTCCTTTGACAACTGGGTAATATTCAAGCTGTAAGCGATTACAGTAACTGCCAATCACTGACGGCTTTTTAGAGAACTTTTTGATTACTCAAAATTACGCTTCACCGTTCTTTGCCTTTCGCAGTGAATTCTTATGGGCATACGTTGTTACGCTCTACATTTTTGAAATAATAAGAAAAACATTGCACTTCTTCAACATTATACTAAAAACCATTATCTGTTTTAGGTCCTGGACACCAATGACAATCCACCAGCCTTTCTGGAACCAGCCTACTCTTTTGACATCCCCGAAAATGCTGTACGCGGTCACCGTGTGGGAAAAGTGCAGGCTGTGGATCCAGATCTAGGAATCAACGCTCAGTTGACATATTCAGTAATCAGTGACTGGGCGAATGATGTATTTTCGCTGAATCCTCAAACTGGAGTTTTTACACTGACTGCCAAGTTAGATTACGAAGAGGTAAGTCTGATATGATTTGGATGTGTTTATTAATTATTCTAATGTTATAAAATTACGATACGTCCTCATTTCAAACTGAAATATGAGGCCAAAAATAATGCTTCGGACTACAAATGAATATAGTTGCAAACGTATTCTTAACCCTTTGCGCCCTAGTGGTCTTCTGAGATTATCAACAATTCACAGTCAATTTACTTGGCTCTTGAAGATATTCTAACATTACCACGAAGCTTGCCTAGGATTTAAGCATCTTATCAGAAATGAAATGATAGCGAACAAAATAGGTTATTGCAGTTATAGCTAGTGGCACTTTATGGGAATGTACTTCTTGAAATGTGGAACTCTGTATCAGGGACAAGAAAGGTTGTTCTGTTGAATTCATTTTTATCTCAGTGTAATATAAGTATAGTTCAAAAATAGTAAGCACCTCCATTTTTGCCATATATTAGTATATCATCATGCTCGCTAGTGTCCTGGAAAGTGTATATCCTCCAAAATAGCAACCATACATATACAGTATTTTACAACGAGTGTTATACATCATCATAGCGAGTGGAAATGGCAGGACCGGCCTAGCATTTCTTGGTGATGATACCTTAATCAACTTAATCAAGTCTGTTTTTCTTTGTCGTGTAACTCCATTAGGCAGGCAACATTAAACTGTATGACATTTGAAGGGTAATTTTGTATTCAGTAGCACTAAATTAATATTATCTATAGTATAAAATGAACGATTTCGTAATAAAAAAGATAAACCTGGGCTAAATTATTAATCGAGAGAAGGAGAGATAAGCTTGGCGAAATCAGTTATAATCTTACTTTTGTCAAACAAGTATATTTCTTCCGCGATAAACCTGTTTATCATATATGACTCGACTGGGCAGTACCCTGTCATAGACATCCGTTTTCAACATTACTGGACCCAAAAACAATAGAGAAGTCACTTCTAACAATAATAACATATTATAAAAACAAATTGCATTTGTTGTAGTGCTCCAAAATGGATATTAAAGTTTTTATTCACTATATGGCATTACCTTCATAATCGATGATTGTCGACTTCGTGTTATTAACTTTTATTCATTGATAAATTCATCATACTAAACATTGATGAGAATCGCAAGATACTGGTAAAAAGCTTCCTCCATAATTATGAAATGTACATATACGAGTAGTCTCGGAAATGCTTGTCCAAAGATGATGGTCCATGACAGGATTTGGTAGTACTCTAAACATAAGATGAAGTTTTTGGACATTTGTCGCACACGTTTGCTACATGTGGTTTGTTTTATTTCCCTGCAACAGTATGAAGATGGATAATCAAGACATGCACAAGATAAGTTCAAGGCGTTAATTTATTAATCGGAAAACATCCGCCTTAAGATTCACATTTATTCTTAACCACCTCGTATTTCCAAAAAAACATGGGGCAAAAATTTAAGAAATGATTCTTTAAACTACGCCAAGACTATTTTGTCTTTTAACTATTTTCGAAAAGATGCAAAGTAACCAAAATGTTTCGATATCTAATATAAGAACAAAAGTCACATATGAGGCTTCATAATGTACAAGGACCGTTCAAAATGAGTACCTCCAGATAAAATACAGCATAAAAAATCTTCTTCTCGAAAACCGACAAACCCTTAAAAATGTACCATGGTTTCTGATTGTCACTGAAACTGTGTAAGCAAATAACTGTGATGGTCCTACAGGGAATAACCGGAGTCGTGTATGTTTTACTATTTTGAACAGTCTTTGAGGATTAAAAAGCTTCATATCTAAAATGATAGTAACAAAACATGTTATTTATTTCTTCAACCTGTATATTTCAAAAGATACGCTTTGTCACTTTTGCCCTATGTTCAGGAAACATCCTGCATATTTCACCTCTGTAGATACATCCGCGTAAAATGAGGTCATATCTCTCAGGTGTCCTCGAAAATCCAACTGGTGCTTTTTTCTACATCCTTGTAAAAAACGTTCGTGCTGTAAATACTCTCGTTTCTTCCCGGTAATCGATCAATGTCAATGTTGCGACGCCAAAACAATTCGAGCGACTGTTTCGAATTTCAAATTCCCTTTGAACTTGACCACCACAATTCACATCAAACCGTCATGTAATTATTGCATTGTTTCCTTTAAGGTGAGCAACCGCGAGGAAGATAAAAATGCGGCCAAGGTTTATAGATATCTAGCTATTTATAGTCTGGAAAAGTTTAATAGTACCACAAAAAAAACGATCCACTGCCTGGCTCAACAGCTGAAGATCACTGGTATAACAGGTGTTCCGAACCGTTCCAAATAATTTAAGTTTTTAAAACAATTTTATTCTTGGTGGCTTTCAAAAACCTCCATCGTTTCGAAAGTACAGGGCTTTTGCTCTTGGTTGAAGTCTTGTAGGTTAGTAGATATGTCAGGTATTGTTGCTCGAATATCCGATAAAGTCATTGAGAAAAGGAAAAAGAAGGAAGGAAGGAAGGGACAGAGCAAAGAACATGAAGAGAGTTGATTGGAGGGGTACCTTGATGATGTTATCTAGAGCTCGGGAACTTCACAAGTGATCTAGAAAATTATTTTTTATGATTTAAGACAGGTTGCTTGTGACTTTAAAACTTACGGACATCATTGGTTAGGTCAATGACCTCATGGACCCCTAACTCAAACTCGTTTGGTGTCACTGAAGTTATCTCTTTACGCTGCTTCAGTGGGAATGTTAATGATTTTAGAAGTCAGATAGTTATTGGTCGTAACTCGATAATAAGTGATACTGGTGAAGGATTTATGAAGAGAAAATTGGGATCTTGTATTTTAGCTGGAGGAAAGAGGAATTTTGAGCAATTTTTGTAGACTTGAATACTACATTTTCAAAAATTTTACTCCCTGTAACCAGACAGTTTCTCGAACATCATCGAAAGACAAAGAAACCTTAAGAATATCAAGAAATCACCACTTGAACGTATGATAATGTTCAGAAAGAACTCTGCAAGTATACGGTTTGATCAAAGAAGAAAGCGCATAATCGGTGAAAATCAAGAAATGTCTAAGAGAAAGCTTAAAATTGTAGACGGTCAAAAGTGATTATTGCAATATTCTCGTCTACCTCCAGAAAAACTATGATTTCCCAAACTGGTTTAAGCATATTGGTTAACAGAATGTGTCTACATTACAGATGAAATGTACACTATAAGCGGCCACACATATAGTGTGTATGTAGTCTTTAAATCTAAACTGATTTCATTTTATAATAAACGCCGAGAGAGGTAGGTCTATGACTGGCGTCGGAGAACAATTAAAAAGGGTAAAAAGTACCGGTGCAGCAACATCGAAGAAACGCAGCAATGTCCGTTTGGAATACAAATTGAATTCCCTGCCACACACGAGGGTAGAACGTGTTTTCGAAAAAATGGCTTACGTACGATTAAAATCGCCCCGTAAAACTACAAAACTAAAAAAATTTCACCGTATGTCGCCGCAGGCATTTAAATGCTATATACATCCAAGACTGGTGCCGAGCTTTGTGTAAGCCATTGTGCGGTGGTCTATGCGTACTACACTACATGACCTCAAAAATGACCACCTACATATAATTTCAAAATGACGATAGGGCTGCGCATTACTTGGATGAAATGATTTGAATTTGTCTCAAGTGATTTACTTCAACTGTTCATATTTCTTTACAGGAGCAAAAACATTAGACTATTTTGTTGATCTTCCAAAATATGATAATAAATAATTTTCTTTTAACACTTTATGGTCAGGTTTATCTTTTTATCAAGGAATCGTTCATTTTACATTATAGTTATATTGAATTGGTACTACTAAAATGTCATACAGCATGTTATGATCAGAATTACCCACCCGGACATCATATGAGGTATAAATCGCAACAATGCCTAGATTATGCCTGCATAATGAAAAAAAAAGACTGGAAACATGAAGGTAAGCTCATGGAGTGTGGATGACGCCAAAGGTCTCGAGAATCAAGTCGAACTAATCGTTTAGCAATTGCGTAAGAAATGTCTGCATCTCTTTGTTGCTTTCATCATGAATCTAAAACGTAAACAACTCTACTTTTGACGGTTCAGTAGAGTCGCAAGTAGAAATTTTGGTTAAGCACGGGGAAACGTTAGAGATATGAAGAATCTTGGGAGTCAGGATTTTGCGATGTACGTGATAATTATTTTCCCATCATTTTTGAACGGCGTATGTGTATACATACGCAAAAGGTGTACGCACACTACCTTTTCAAGAGCCACGCCCTTCTTCATACGAATACGTGTGTTGCCTTAGGAAAGTTTACCATCTTGTTTCCAGAATTTTGCTCATGAAGAGATTTGACCTGTAACTTAACTGACAGCTATTCACGTAAATCAAACAACATTCAGACCGGTAACTCTCTCCTGCGCGGCTATTATGTGAAAAACCTAAAAAACGTAAAAGAAAAACGACGAAATGTCAGCTTGCAACTAGCGAGCACTTATGATACACCAACATACAGGGTGGCCCATTTCAACCTTCTCACCTAAATATTTTGAAAACTCGCATCCTACAAAAAAAATTTTCAAACAAAACTTGTAGACTCTTGAAGGTCATGGTCAAGATCATATTTGGGTAGTCCCCACAAACCTTACACCTATGCGGTAGAATATTCTTGCTAGAATAAGTTGTTGACTATGTCTTGATTTGACCTTGATATGGCCTAATATTTTTCTTTTGATTAGTGCATTATCCGTACTTTATTTGTTACGCTTTAACTGAGCGATAGGAACTTCTCCTGCACATATTAACAACGTTGCAGATTGCACGACCTTCTGCGTCACCGTTGCTAAGCAATGTGTTTTGATAACCTTCGCTTTTCAGCTGGCTTCTCTCTCTTTCTAACAAGTGTTGATACACACTTCTCGCGCTTCTCTCTCTTACACATTGAACTCAAGCCGTCAGACAAATTTGGGTTTACCCTGTAGCTGTTGAAGTACGCTTTATGTTTTTTACCTGCTTACAGTATGGGCACAACAAATAAC